ATACTTACATATAACTTGAATTTATTTACTTGTATTTATTAGAAATTATGAATTTAATAAAAGCTGTTTTCTTAAAGAACTGTGAAACAGAATAGTAAAATATTAACAATGTTAATTAAAAATATTAATTATGCAAATTACAGAAACTTCAAATGTTACAAGTTAACTCTTTTGTAAATATATCTAGATGTTCAAATTTTCAAAGTAAACTTTAAAAATAAACTTGTCTGGATGTTAACAATGAATAAATCAAAACTCGGTTGTAAACAAATGTAATTAAAATTAGTACTGTTAAAGGTTAAATAACAATTTCAGAAACTTTTAAAATTCAAGCATAAAATAAAATCAATAAATTTACGGCAAATAACAAAATGAGAGATATTATATCTAATTCTTTTCAATTTCCTATTACTTTTTTTTATTCAATATTTTTCTTACTATATTTAACAATAGAAAGATACACAGATCAAAATTGGTTTTGTATAATCTTTTATATACGTACCTCGTAACATCATAGTTTAGATTAAAATGGAAAAGTCACTGCTTCTAAATTGTTTTAAATTTAAAGTTAAATACGGGTTCAAACCAAGGAACGACAACCCAAGAGTAAGCAACAGGTGTTGAGAACAACGCCCAATAGATTACCGCCATAATAGTTTTGATTCTTATTTTATGTGATAAGTATGCGTACGTCGTACGCCTCTTTAACTTTATCTACATATATACTCAAATAATAAATTTCTATAAAAATATAATCAAATTCCTTGAAGTCTTCCGTAGAAAATACTTTTACAATAAAAGAAAATCATAAATCTTTCTTACACAAAATACATATTTAGTTTATGTACAGTATACAGCATAGCATGAATGATCCGACTGGCATGACATTGAGGCAAACCATAACAAAACCATTTTCGAGACATTTTTAGCAAGCTAACAGTAAATTAGTCTATACGAAAGAAATGTGCCCTCAAAATGTATCATCACATTTGTTTTGAAAAATGCAGACACTATCACTGTGATATCTTGATTATACTAAAAAAATATTAAATAATAGTACTATAGTTAATAGCCACTGTAAGTTCATAGACATTGACAGACATACAGTCAGCTCCCGTTCTTAGTGCCGTTTTTCTCGTCCACTAGAAGAGCTTTTCTATCCCCACCATTCTATTGCGCATTCAGCATCGCGCAATTGCTTTAAAAAGAGAGCCAAAAATGATCGAAAGAGAGACAGAACGAAACCAGCGGCCTGTATAGTGGCAATGGTAGCATCCACACAAACGAGAAACCTGGCTCGTTGTGGCGAATACTTAGTCTATGGCAGACACGTAGTTCCACAAGCGGCCACTCGTAGTGTTAGTGTTTTGCACGAGTTACGCTCTGCACCGTGCGTGGTTAATGGCCGTTTCCGTTTTTCCTCCCCCGAAACAAAGAAGAGAAGAGAATGCTCTCGAAAAGCAGAGACTCGAAGTTCGAATCGCGTAGCGTGAGCACGCGTAGTTAACCGCGGATCGTATCCACGCGTTAAATCTGGCCGGTTGTCACCTAGACATTCTGATTCATTTTTCTTGCCGAGCAAGCGCTGTGTGTATATATATTTATCTTTGAGTTAATAAATTATATCTAGTTATGAATATCCCACGTGCGTGTCTAACCTCGGACCCTAGTAACTGTCTCCACGTGTTCGTCCAAATACAGACTCTAGGGAAATCGCAGTAGAGAGATTCACAAATACAGGGTGTCCCAAAAATGTCTCGCAATACGGAAGGGAGGGTATAGCTGAGGTCATTCTAAGTAACTTTTTCCTTAGCGAAAGTGTAATCTGTGGTTTTGTTTACGAGTTATTAACGAAAAACGCTGACCAATGAGAGGCGAGAGCGCGATCTACAACGTGGTAGGTAGCTCGAGCGCAATGCGTTCTGACCGCGGAGTTTGACAGAAGTAGGGGGGCTCCGTACCGCGTTCGAATAAATGAACAAGTCACGGAGCATGAATTTTCGATTTCTTTTTTACCACGTGACAGTGATAATTTTAAGAAAAACGCTGTTCATCCTTATTTCAGAATGTCTGGAGAATATTTACTCATTTTTCGGACCCGAAATAATAAATAGTTTAACTGTGACAGCCGTTTAAATTTTCTTAAGCGCATGGCATCTCACGTGTCGATTCGCAAAGCTAATTTAATAATAAATAATCGCGTTAAAGAACATGCAGAATATGTTTCTCGAATATATATACTGTCTCTTATACACATCTAGATGTGTATAAGAGACAGGCATCTCACGTGTCGATTCGCAAAGCTAATTTAATAATAAATAATCGCGTTAAAGAACATGCAGAATATGTTTCTCGAATATATATATTTCTCGATATAATTCTTGTACGTGAAAATTCTATCCCTCTCGAGTGCACGTGTAGTCCAGGTATTGGGCCTGGTCGCTTCAAAGTACAATTGTCCCAGTCGACGACTTTCTGACTTGCTAATGAGAAGGAAATTCCCTGTCTTAAAAAACCGAAGAGAGAATTATCTTCAAGGAAACAACACAATTGTACTTTCAAGTCTTTCCTTTCCACGTTGGGGGTCTGTTACACGTGCATTCACATTTTCATTAGGGATTTTACCAATGTAAACACGGAGTCGAAAAAGACACAGATTTTGGGTCCGAAAAATTAATAAATATTCTTCAGATATTTTGAAATATAAGGATGAACAGCGTTTTTCATAAAATTATCAGTGTCACATAGTAAAAAAAATCGAAAGTTCATGCTTCGTGATTTGTCCATTGTTTCAAACGCGGCACGGAGCCCCTCTTCTTCTGTCAAACTCCGCGGTCGGAGCACGTTGCGCTCGAGCGATCAACCACGTTGTATTTCGCGTCCTCGTCTCTCATTGGTCAGCGTTTTTTGTCAATAACTCGTAAACAAAACCACAGATTGCATTTTCGCTAAGGAAACAGTTATTTAGAATGATCTCAGTTCTACCCTCCGTTTCCGTATTACGAGACATTTTTTGAAACACCCTGTAGAACTCGCAGCTGTTAAAACTGATGATCCCGACGTGATCTCTACTATTGCTGAATTACGAACGGATCCGCGAACTTCCCGCTTGGATTAGTAATCACGTGCATCGTTGTGGACAAAAGGGCCTCGTCTAGCCCGAGTGGCTCCACGAGTGCCCTGCTCAACGATCAGGATTTGGCGCGTGTTGGTATTGGTACCGCGCCGTTCTGACCTGCCAAACCAGAGCTATGGTTCTACCAGTTAAAGGCCCAGTCTGGATCTTCGCTGGGATTTCTTCGGACGAAACAAAATACTTCTATGTCGTCCAGAGCCTCTTGGATTCCGCGCTGAGCGAGATATTCGACATATTGGCAGCGCCTGCGGCTGCTGACGCGTATACGAAACTGAAGGAGCGACTCATCAGCATGTATGTGGAGACCGAGGAACGCAAGTTGAATGCGTTGCTGGGTGAGGCTGAATTAGGCGATGGAAAGCCGTCGCAATTACTGCGACGCATGAAGGATCTTTCGCAGGGGTGAGCGACTGTTGCTGTCTTCAAGTCACTCTGGCTGCAGCGCAGGTGCAAGCCGTTCCTCTCGATGTCTGAGCAGGGAAGTGTCAGGAGCACTACTGCAGTTACTGCATGTAACCATCGATACCTTGTCGGCTGATCACACTGGATCCTCGAGCAGTCTCGAGCAGTCTCAAGCTGTCTAAAGCAGTCTCGAGCAGTCTCGAGCAGTCTAAAGCAGTCTTGAGTAGTCTCGAGAAGTTTCGAGCATTCTCGAGCAGTCTCGGACATTCTAGAGTATTCTTGAGCAGTCTCGAGATGTCTCGAGCAATCTCGTGCAGCCTCGAGCAACCTCGATCAGCCTCGAGCAGCCTCGAGCAGTCTTGAGCAGTCTCGAGCCATCTGGAGTAGTCTCGAGCCATCTGGAGTAGTCTCGAGCAGTCTCGTGCAATTTCGATCAGTCTCGAGCAGTCTCGAGCAGTCTCCAGCGGTCTCGAATAGTATCGAGGAGTCCAGCAGTCTCAAACCATCTCGTGCAGTCTCGAGATGTCTCGAGCAATCTAGCAGTCTCAAACCATCTTGTGCAATGTCGAGATGTCTCGAGCAGTCTCGAACCGTTTCGAGCAGTTTCGAGCAGTCTCGATCAGTCTCGGGCCGTCTCGAGTACTTTATAATGACAAATTCCTGATACTTTGTCTACATAATGTATTCTTTGAAAATTGCATTTTGGCTACCTTTTTGGGAACTGTTAATTGTTTCGTAATCATCGAGTAGTTACACACGATCGTCAGACCCGATAAATCGTCCAGTTGCCACACGATTTCGATTCGAAGCTAATCTTGTGAAAGTCGTGGCCACGAATGGCAAACGCTGTAGCACCGACGTGACGGAACCTTGCACTTCGTTCGTCAGAAAGTGGCGACCGTTAGCTCAATAAATACGATGTGCCCCGACCATCACAGCATTTTCGCGTTAGCGAAATCCCCGTGGAAATTCACAGGCATTACCGATTTACCGGTACCAACGTCTGCACGAGGGAATGCCGGTTTATTGAAGACGGTTTTGTTGACAACGAGCAGCGCGACGAATCGGCCGCACGAAAGATGACGCGGCCAAAGGTCTCGCCGAGAGCAAGCTGGGAGTGGAAATCGCTTTTGGACTGGGGCTACCAACCCTGGCAAAGGGGATTCGATGGAATGTATTGTGCAGCGTATATCATTATATTTATTATGCAGCGTATATCATTTCATTGACGATCACTTCACCGACATAATTTCATCGACATCGAACTTCGGCGGCAATATTTATTCACCCACGCATTTAGATTATCGAGTAGCGTTTCCTCGGAAGTGTTTATTTATCGATGGAAATTTCTAGCGCGTATCGTGATTATTATTTTTATTCAATCACTGATAATATGCGCGTGCAGTGAGTAACGATATTGTTTGAAATACAATAACGTTTTCAAACTTCACCAAATAACTTGAATTTTTTTTATACACAAGACTAACTGATTTATTAGACAATAAGTAACAAGACGTGTGCAAGAATTACAATTAATTAGCATGAAAAACAAAAATAAAACACACACACACATAAAAGCACAAGCACACGCGTTCAATGTGCTTCTAGCTATTTTATAGAAATTAAAAGTTTACTAAATGACTTATATTTATAAAAGTTTACGCTTAAATCGAAGCCTTGGTTCAAAGTAAGACGAGATATTTTCTTAAGCTATTTTTTTTAATATCCTTTTGCTGCTTATCTTGTTCAAGTAAAGAAATTTATATCGATCCATTCAAATAGACAGATATTGATACTAGTATTAGTTACTTATTACTAGACTCCGGATTTTATGTATTTATGGCAAAAACGAGTAGACCGAATGCAAAATAGCAAAAGCTTCCAAAAAATTTGAGAATGTTTTTTTATTACTACCAATTCATGAAAAATATTAAGAGAAGGAATTATATTTTACTTTAAAATATTTTCGTTAGGAAGTAAATATTTCTCCAGAGTTTTCATTAATTCAATACCAAATTAAATACCAAATAATCGTTAAAATTGAATTTTCATAACAAAATTAAATTGTGAATGTAAAAGTTAACTTAAAACAGAAAAAGAAGTAATTCAGAAGTTAAAAGATTACCAAGTAACTTATATTTATAAAAATTTATAATTAAATTATAATTATATTCAAGCCCTGCCCAAGACTGCAACTTTATCTAGACTTGGTAGTAAACAACTAACTCTACGATATCTAACAGCTACGATAGTATTATTAAGAACTGTTATTATGAAGAATTGAAGAACAGCTCACCGAAGCAGGTGATACTATTTTACAGGGTTTTGTCATCTCCCAGTGTACACTGCAACTTGCACCTGCAATTAGTGTCGTCATAAAAACGACCCTGACATACCGATTCTCCGCTAGTTGGCTCAGCATTCGACGGGCACGTTTTGATGCGGTTTCATCGGCCCGTATTTATGTGCCTCATTGTTCCCCGTTGACCGGGGACGATTGTATACGAAAACGTACCTGTGTCAATTGCATAATATAACGTAACGGTATGTCGAGCCGAAGGGAAACGTGACCACGTTGCACGAACAATGAGCCGATTCGCAGTAACGCCGCGCGAGTTAAATGCCCCTCGATTTTTGTTCGCCACGATAGTCGATGCAACGGCTGAACGGCCACAGTAAATTTTACTTACCGATTGGCCGTGATCTCTTAGAACGATAGACCGATCGATGGTCGCACACCTGTCTCTCTGTGCGTGTTGCCATCTTCTAAGACGGAGGAAGAGACGAAACGTCCCGGTAGCATTTTAATGAAAGCTCGAGAAACAATAATGTGGAGTTGTTAAATGGTATTTAGCATCGCGTCATATTACCTGTTTAAGGCTTGATCATACGTTTTCACTGGACTAAAGAGATGGTTATGTATTTATGGCAACTTGTATAACTCGCGAGCACGCATCAAGATTTTAATGATGTCTCAATTTAGAATGCAGTCAAACTGCAACCACGGGAAATGGATTTTAGACCTAATTGTCTTTTTTCAGAGCTGACGTGAACCACGACTATCACGGTGCAGTAAGAATCTTGGTGATACAGTTTCGGGGCCTTTTTTGAACAAAGAAAACGGGGCATATAAGTAGTGGATTCAATGATTATGATTACGCTACGGATTTTTATAACAATGATCTATTCTAATTACAGGAGCTACGTAGGTATTTATTTTGTTTGCTAATAATGACATTTTTGTTTTATTGTTTTTTGTACGATCAACTCATCTTTGTTGTAAATGCATAAAATCTGCAGTCTAATAATTCAATAGTAGAATCAAGACTAATCGATAGATTAGGGTATAAATTTATTCAGTAGATAGTGTGGAACGTTTTAAAATAAAAATAAGACAGTATCTGTTTCAATTAATTGCGTATCAAATCAGGAAGATTAATCTTGTGTAAGATCACCTATTAGAAGCAAATATCCAAGTCGTTGTAACAACGATATAATAACCATATTGATAAAAATGATACCGTTCGTTATTTCGGCTTATAATAAAATACTTTTCCATTTTAGTAAACACCGACAGAGCTAAAGAAATGCAAATGATTTGAGAAGAATTTCAAAAACACAGCACAGATTAAAGCAACACCGTTCGCAATTAATTAAGCGGCGTATTCTCACGATCAACTTTTTAGCATCGCGCTGCTATCAACGACCCCGATCGCGACGCAAGAAACGCGAAATGGGCCCATTTTGCCCGATCTGTTGGATCTAGCGTCAAGAAACACTTTATTTGCTCCGGGACCCCACCAGTCTACGGGCTTCCCAGCAGCAGCCAGCACGATCCCATCGCGGAGAATAACGTGTATTCGAGCACTATTAAACTATAACACGACACGTAACATTATCGATACGATACACTCGGCGTTTGGAATGTCCCCTGGTGGAGGCTCACCGACTCCCTTAGTATCCTCTTCAGCGAAACGGCGCATTATCGCTATTAGCGTAATACATATCCCACGCCTTGGAAAACTGCCGGCGCATTCTGTGCCGTGGATATCTCGTCCGTGAACCCCGGCTCGAAACACTCGATTTACCGTTCGCCTCGGAGCCGTTCCATATCTATAGATCTAGGATAGACACGGTTTTCCCGTACTAATTCTGCGGTCTCTAATCTTCTATCACAATCTCCGCGTGATAAGGGCACCGGTCCCCCCGCCGACCCGCAGCCGGGAATCTTATCATTATGCTGATGAACGTAAATTATTATAATAGTCCGGCTAGTGATCGTAACTTTGTGGATCCTTACGCTCGCCGCCGCGAAATCGATAGTTTAATTATCGGCACCGGGGCAATCGTGTAACGCGCGCGGCTTTAAACATCGTTGTTGCGTCCCGGCTCGCATTACGACCGGGGATCGGTCTTATGGGATAATGCTCGTGCACACGGCCGATCTAATGCATAATAAATGTCGACGGAATTCGGAAAATTGTTATCGTCCGGGGAACGAGCCGGCGCATTTGTTGCGCGATAAAGGACGAGGAAGCGATTCCATAATCCGCCGATGGAATATCCGAGGGTTAACCGATGATTTTCATTTATCTTTTCATGATGCAGCCGCGGATTATTGATATTTTAGATGGGATGCTGTGAAAACGGAGTCCGTTTGTCTTGGCTGATAAATTATAGCGGACGGTGAATTCAACTGAAATTCATAATCTGAGTTCATAATAAAATTGCTGTAACAACAATTTTTACTTAAATTCGTATCAAAATTTCATTACAAGTTAAATTTATAATAAAAATTATTAAATTATTATATTACAATAAAAAAAAAAAAAAAAAAAAAAAAAAAAAAAAAAAAAAAAAAAAAAAAAAAAAAAAAAAAAAAAAAAAAAAAAAAAAAAAAAAAAAAAAAAAAAAAAAAAAAAAAAAAAAAAAAAAAAAAAAAAAAAAAAAAAAAAAAAAAAAAAAAAAAAAAAAAAAAAAAAAAAAAAAAAAAAAAAAAAAAAAAAAAAAAAAAAAAAAAAAAAAAAAAAAAAAAAAAAAAAAAAAAAAAAAAAAAAAAAAAAAAAAAAAAAAAAAAAAAAAAAAAAAAAAAAAAAAAAAAAAAAAAAAAAAAAAAAAAAAAAAAAAAAAAAAAAAAAAAAAAAAAAAAAAAAAAAAAAAAAAAAAAAAAAAAAAAAAAAAAAAAAAAAAAAAAAAAAAAAAAAAAAAAAAAAAAAAAAAAAAAAAAAAAAAAAAAAAAAAAAAAAAAAAAAAAAAAAAAAAAAAAAAAAAAAAAAAAAAAAAAAAAAAAAAAAAAAAAAAAAAAAAAAAAAAAAAAAAAAAAAAAAAAAAAAAAAAAAAAAAAAAAAAAAAAAAAAAAAAAAAAAAAAAAAAAAAAAAAAAAAAAAAAAAAAAAAAAAAAAAAAAAAAAAAAAAAAAAAAAAAAAAAAAAAAAAAAAAAAAAAAAAAAAAAAAAAAAAAAAAAAAAAAAAAAAAAAAAAAAAAAAAAAAAAAAAAAAAAAAAAAAAAAAAAAAAAAAAAAAAAAAAAAAAAAAAAAAAAAAAAAAAAAAAAAAAAAAAAAAAAAAAAAAAAAAAAAAAAAAAAAAAAAAAAAAAAAAAAAAAAAAAAAAAAAAAAAAAAAAAAAAAAAAAAAAAAAAAAAAAAAAAAAAAGTAAATAAAAAATATATTACAATAATAAATTATGATATTACAATAAAAATTTATTATGATTGATAATATTCTCCTATCTAAAATCAATTAAATTAAATTTCTATTGAAAATCAATTGTGATATAAATTCAGTCTACCCGATTTTTATTTATCTGTTTACTTGTACAGGCGAAGTCGGATGCAAAGTTGGCTATGTGAAAATACAAAAATAAAGTTTCTATTAAAGATAGCTTTGTAGTTAGATTTTTCTAGCCTACCGTGTACATTGGTACGGTTTCGATTTCAGGATTAAGTGGCATGGCATCGACAATAAGATATCGATACTGATCAGCATCGATACTGATTCCAGAAGTATACAGCTACTGTATCGATTACTGAATTAAATTATTGCGACCATTAGACAAATTTACGAGTACTGTTACATGATTATTCTCCTCAATTTATTTCAATTATTAAAGGATGGAATACATTTTTATTTAACCTTCGTTCTGCACAAGTAACGAGAAAAGTTTATATGCTACACGAAATAGGTTTTATAATTCATTAAAGTGACGCCCGAAATTTCCGACAAAAATTAAATAGATTTCTTATCTATGTCGCGTTTCTTAAAACATTTCAATTATATTTATGAATTTTTTCATAATCTGAAATATACATGGTGTCCCTGAAAAGCATGTACAAGCGGGCACCAGGTGATTTCTCATAAAGAAACATGAAATAAATATAAAACAGCTTTTTTTGGGGACAGCGATGTGGGCGTCTAATGGGCGATTTGACCAAAGAATTAGAAGAAAAATCAATAAGTTCAAAAAGTAATTTGCAAACAAGACTAAAAGGAGAATGGGATTCTATTTATTCGGAATATTTAAAAAAGATTATTTACAATATGCTCAAATGGTTATATGGTGTCATTAGACAAAACGGATTTGCGAAAAATATTAAAATTGAAATATATCTCATAACATACGTATCAAATATTTATTTATCTCAAAAATGTTCGAATATTAATGAGACAAGAAAATGTAACAGCTTTTCATCTCTCCAACGTATTGTATTAGTAAATATTATTGTTGGACAAAAATTATTTGTGTATTTTCGATCAGCAAGAAATGGCGAATCGTTTTGCATAATAAGTGATGCCTGAATCACGCACCTTATACGAAGCAAAAGAGATAAAGAAATAGCATTCAAGGCCAATACAGTGTGCGCCACATTAACTTCTGTCAACTATTATAGGAAATTGCACAGAGGTCTCATTTTGATGGAAACCAATGTTCGCGAATGCGCCCTGTCGGCAAGATGCTGCGGAATCGGTGACGACAAGCAGGCGGAGTTTTCCCTTCGGTCGACAATTCTGCGAAGAAGAAAGTAACAGTACTCGTACTGTTCACGGGGACCGCATAAATCTCGAGGTTGCAAGCAAATTGTCTGGTCCGTGGATAGAACGAGACGTGTGGAAGGAGCTACGCGTTGTGCGCGCAAGAATAACAGCTAACAGGAAACGTTGTACGTTGCCTGTTGTATCTGCCGTGTACGCGTTTGTAGCCGGCTATGGTAGTCCCGTTTGTGTTGCCGGATACTTGCGGCAGGAGAGATCTTGCGGCGGAACTCGGGCCCCGATTTAATCTCTCGTTCTCCTACTCTCGTATCTACTCGAGATGAATTCCGCGGATGAACGTATATGGCGTACGGTAATTGTCTCCGCAGGTGCCGGTGGTATCGATTGATTGAACTAGTCGATGCCCGAAGGAGTTTTGCGAAAACAATCTGAGAATTTGTGAGGCAGAGGGATGAATGTATAAAGTATTGGACGTGGTTAATGAAACGCTCTCGTTTGTGTGTAATAACATTTCAAGATTTATTCGACGCCGTAGAGATAAGTACGTGTATTGGAAATAGTTATTTATATTGCGGCGAAGAAAATTGTTAATTGAAATAGTATCTTTTGGAATGTACTGGAAATAATTATTTGAAATAGTATTTCGTGTGTTCAAAATTTCTATTAATTGTTTGAAATTCTACTTCTTACGAGCAACATTTATGAGAGAAAATATAGAATATCGTGTTATTAAACAATATGGATTTGCGAAAAATATTAAAATTGAAATATCTCGTAATATACGTATAAAATTGCATAATAAGTGGCATGATACCTGAATCACGCACCTTATACGAAGCAAAAGAGATAAAGAAATAGTATTCAAGGCCAATACAGTGTGCGCCACATTAACTTCTGTCAACNAAAGTAAACAAACACATATTGTTTCGTAAAATAAGCTTTCCCTTATATTTCTCTCAATTCATGAATGTAATTGGAACATTTAATATTTGTTTGCTTTTAACAATGTACATATCTCAAATAATAAGATCGAAAAATTTCGAATTTCATGAAATTGTTTTTCTATTCGATTGTTTCATTTCACGCACAATAAAAAAAAATATTTATTTCAATAAAATTTTTCAGGCTCTTGTAAAGTATATATTTTAAATATGTATTATATATTTGTAAAATCAGTTAAGTGTTTCAACTAACGTTTCATTTAATACAGAAATAAATTACTACTTCAAACG